ATAGGAAGTTCAAACAACTCGTCATGACTTACAGCGACAGTGAAAGACAGTTTTGTACAGTTCTGGCTTGATGTAGTCAGCTCTTTGTGCAATTGCAATCACTGTAATCTCGTCCGAATACCGCTTTCATGTTATTTCCGTCATGGTAATCTCGTCCAGCCTCTATTTTCCCTACTGAGTAGCCATATTTTTTTAAGCCATAAATCGGCGAATTCTCTCCCTTTCTTCACTACCGATGAACTACTCCCAATCTATACTTATGCTTTTCTAATAAAAACGGGTACATAAAAATTATCGTGTATTGTACTTTTAACAATACATCAAGTCAAACCGAATTGAAACCCTATTACTATTAGACCATATAAAAACTTAGGCGATTCCTTTGTACGGAATCGGTAGTAAATCCCCTTGAACTCAAGTATTCTGGGCCAGAAAAGGAGTGCCACTATTGCCTTCTGGGCGTTACAATATGCGAGCAATACTTGAAAACCAAAAAAACCTACACATCAATTGCAACGTACCACTACTTGGTCGAGTGACAGTAATCACGCAACTGCCACTTCGCCATAGCATCATACCAATGTTGGTGTACATCAGAGCCAATACAGCCAAAGGCAGAATGTACCAGAGCACAAAAGACACCGTAACCCAAACACGTAATCTGAAAATGGCTGGATCATGATCGCGTGGAACGCCTTCGATAAGTGCAAAGAAGCATTTACGTGTCCGTTCGACCACAAGCGGCAGCTGTTTCACTGAATCTATAGAGGCGAGTGTTCACTGCATACGGTATGTTGGAAGCAATGCTCAGAGCCCAGGTGACCAAGGTCATCATGAAACGAACGCGACGTCGAAGAATCTGTTGGGTCCACGCAGAGAACGGATGCATGAACACTAGAAAAATTCTTCGTTGACATTGCTGCGATTTTTCCAAAAGAAAGTTTATAAAATTGGAAACTTGGAAAGTTCGGTTTGAGGAGAAGTGGGGTGGGAGTCCAGAGCAGTTCGTGGAGAATCCCATTTTCTCGCAGCCGGTTATACTCCCGGGATTCAAAACCTAATTTTTAAGGTGCAGGTGACGGTTCGCGTGAAAGACACTCGCACCTTGAATTCATAGTCGGCGCAGGCGACATGCGCATAACGTTAAAGGATCAATAATAATTAAAAGTCTCAGGAAACCTTCACTCGAGGCTAACATAAATCTCGGCATTGATGTAGCTTGATGTAATTTATGTCTCCGACTCTCACGATTTTCTGTTAAATCTAGGCTCCTTTGAAAACACATTATGCCTTGGGAACCAATCAAAAATGAACGGCAAGCAAGAATGTCTCACAGTCACACGGGAAATCAGGCCTTACTTATATAAGGTTGCTTTTCTCACAGTGATTAGATGAGATCAAGCCCAGCTGACAGTGGTCCCACTATCAATTGCTGAGTGATTTTGAGGATCCACAAAACTACGCTGAGTGGCCCTTCCTAAGATTACGTTTGTGCCCTGGGGAGTCTCGGGCTTTAGAAGGGCCGTAGAGACGTTTAATCAGATATCCAAATTGTTTTTAATTGATGTCAGGCTATGAAGAAGACAGTAGTGCCGGACGTTAGCTATCAAAGTTTCAATAAAAACCTCGTGATAATTGAAAATCTAAACTACATCAATTCTTAGAAACTATATGAAGGCTAGTTCTGACCTTCCTGAACCTATTCACCATGTAGCGGGAGGGTTATGTATATGATCGCTGGGGCAATACGTAATGTTGGGGCAGAATCATGTGTGGAACGAACGAGATCAGCGCTATTTTCGCTGAGTTCTGTGATTTTGATGATATTATCTCTAGAGAGTTCTGCTCTACTAAAAACTAGGTAAAAGAGCTGAATTTGCTCCACTTATGTTCAAACTATACGCCATATATCAAACCACCACTACGGTTTTGGAAGTCGAAGGCAGGAACGCATTCCGGGTTGGGTTGAAGCCAAGAACTCTATCCCTTATCTCTGCAGCTCTCCAGGCTGNGGCAATACGTAATGTTGGGGCAGAATCATGTGTGTGAACGAACGAGATCAGCGCTATTTTCGTTGAGTTCTGTGATTTTGATGATATTATCTCTAGAGAGTTCTGCTCTACTTAAAACCAGCTGAAATAGCTGAATTTGCTCCACACATGTTCAAACTATACGCCATATATCAAACCACCACTGCGGTTTTCGAAGTCGAAGGCAAGAACGCATTCCGGGTTGGGTTGAAGCCAAGAACTCTATCCCTTATCTCTGCAGCTCTCCAGGCTGGAACGCATTGGGAGAGGCGCCGAATGATGGGGCACGCTTGAGTTTTTGCACTTATCCAGAAGCTGTCCCGAGTGGTTTCTTTGAATCAGGCTTCAGAATGAATACTAATAATGATGTAAAAAGACTCACCCAGGTACTTCTCTATGGATACGCACACCAAAATACCGACGCTCAGACAGGGGATGAAGTGCAGCATGAATACGTATATGTAACACATCGCTTCACCTGAAAAATGGTAAATGTATTTTTTGGTTTCGAACATGTGCAACACGAATGGAGATTCCCTTCAAAGTTAGGTTGTTTACGTCAGTCATGAGCACCTAGTAGGTTCGTCGGAAAAAGTACTCTTTCAAGTAGAGAAGTAGTGTGCTCTTTCATAAGAAACTCATTACTGTTGACGTTTGTCCCTATGACATCTGATCAGGGTCCGGTGTCTTCTCCCCGAAAATGGTTCGCCGCACCCGATCGCGCGCAGTCGCGCGTTTTGGAGGGATGGGTTTGAATTCCCAGTGCAAGGATAGGGTAACCGCCGCGTGACTTTGCCGCTTGCCCTGGTAATTTGGGGAGAAGTTCCGGCACCTCATTTAAACACACTATGCCTTATGATTGTTCTAGTAGGGCCACTGATGTCTTCATGCCTTTAAGTACAGAAGATGTAGACGTAATTCGAGAGTTCGGCATGGGGTTTCATTTTAGTTTTTACTGCCATGCAATATCGACTACGCTTTTTTGTGCAGAAGTTGTTCCTCGAGCCTCACTTTTTTATGTTTTCATTGGTTTTTATGATGCAAAACTCAAATTATGTGCATGTAGGCGGTTCAGATTTGGAAGCATTTCGTATACACCCATGAATGTAAGGAAAACAGCTTAAAGCGGATAAGAAATTCAGCTAATTTCTAAAACTAAAAAAAAAGAAATGTTGGTTCTTGTGATGGCAGGGACGAAAGGTACCGCATCTTTTGAAAGGCACATTCCACGTGAAAATGGTTTGAGAGGTTTCTTTCTTATGTTAGATGGAGGTGTGACCTCCAAGGATAGCCTAGAGGACGCTATTTGGTCGAAAAACAGCAAGATAGGGCGTAATGAGGACCCCCAAAACCAGCTTAGCTGACGTACACACGTTCAACGAGCGTTCGAACAACTCTTCCAAATACCCCATCCATGCAGTTTTTAGCATTATTCTCGTTCGACCCCTGATTTTTCTACTTTTCTGAAGCCTTGCATTTCTATAAGTACGCCTATTTTTGCGTTTCCCCATTGCCCGTCTCAAACTAGTAGGTAACCCAAAATTATCGTGAGATGTGCGCTAACAGAACAAGGCCAATCTGATCTGAAAACCGCAGGAAATCAAAAAAGAAGAGATGTAATGGTGATTGGATGTACTGAAGGTGGGCATTGAAATTTTGTCTCATGCTAAATCCAGATACCGAAAGAAAGATATTATAAGGGATCCGTTGTAGAGATCCTTTTCACTGATGACATCGTCTTGATAAAGCATGAAGGATAACTAAGGACAAGTGCAGTTTGGAATTTGGTGGATTCAATTATCACCCATCTTCGTTCTTCATGTTAACCACATTCCCAGGTATCTCAGATTCAACATGATCGCAAATTAGTGTAAAAATTTAGAGGACCCTGTTCTACAGAGGCAATCGCCGCCTCATAGGTATCATATGCGGAAGCAGTTTGCGCATGTTTTAGAGCATAACGAGCGATATCACTAATGATCATATGAAACTTCTATTTACTACTATCAAGCAAATAATTGGTAACGGATTATCTCACCTAGTGTCCAGTTACCATGATCGAATCCCACAATGTGAACCATGTTCTGGAGAATACAGAAGGCAGCCACGAGCAGATCAGCCAGTGCCAAATTTGCTAGGAAGTAATTCGTTCCGGTACGCATTGTCGGATGCAGCACAATGACAACAATCGTGAAGATGTTGCCTGAAAGGTCGATGGACTCCTGAGTTTAGCCATAAAAACAGAAAAGAGAATATTGCCCTCTGCGTGTGACTTCACACTTTCATATATACAAATTCTGATCTTCGAGCTTGTCTTTCCCGTGCACCCCTAGAAAAAGACGATGGGTGTCGTCATACTTACCCAGTAAACATACACTGAATACGAATAGATAGATAACAATCAGAGGCAGGCGAACAGCCGGCTGATCAAGAAGTGAACCTTCTTCGCACATATCCACCAAGTCCTCTTCAACGATATCAGTAAGATTCATCATGTTGGGTAGTTACAGCCTGAAAATTGAAAGAAATCATAAAAAGAGGTATTGGCAGTCTATTCACAACATTGAGAAGAGTTAAGGGTCATAGATGAAGATCGATATGAATCTTATAATTTATTTATTTATTTATTTAAATAAACCTCCAGGGTGTGCCCATCAATCACATAGACAAAGGAAACTAGAAACTAGAAAGTTATGGAAAATTGGCTTATAGCAAGGCAAAAGAGAAACGCATAGCAACAAAACAAGGTTAAAAAGTAAAAAGGTTAGAACTAGAGACGCGATAAAATAAGCAGAGAGATTAGCAGACACGCCCAGACATCAATGGGAACGAGAGAGGAGCTAGGGCATTTCATTGTGAGAACCATAAGGTTGCTTTCCCCTGTCAAGCAGATGAGGGGTCCCCCCGCAAGATCCTGGTCCTTGGCCCAGAACGCAAAGCGACAGAAGAACCGAGGCTTGCTGACAACTTAGTCCGTTACGAACGAATTCGTCCGGAACCCCGGGCGAG